ATTGAGAGTTAATTTTATTAACATGGCCCACCTGCAGGATAGCTGAGGCCCACTAGTGTGCTGCAGCCCACCGGTTAAGAATCCCTGGTTTAATGCATTTAGCATTAGTTTTGATGTTAAACTTAACTTTTAGATTTTCTTTGTAAACTGGATTGATAAATACATTGTTTTATTTAAAATGATCATTAGTAATATTTTCCCTAGTGAATAATCATTCTATTAATATTAATCTGTGTTGTAACAAAACTTAAATAATTATTTAGATTATTAATAATGAAATTAATAATGAACATTATAAAAGTATGCATTTTTTGAAATATAAACCACTAATAACCTGTCTTCAAACTTTCAAATCATGTAGATCATGTATTGGCAGAAAATGACAATATAAAATATATCTAAATATATAAAAACAATAAGTTTTTAGACTGTAAATAAATCAAATGAATTGGTGTTTGGCAGTGGATTCCAAATGTTAAACCAAAAATACTGCACACAAAAGACAGAAACCCCCAATTCATAAACAAAAGCACTATCCCGAAGGCTTCTCTAATAATAAAGCAATAGCCACTCCCACCCTGTCGCCCCTATATACCTCCCCCAATGTCGCTCGATCACCCACCCAACCCAACCCCAACGCCCATCTGTCAGTCTGACAGCCACAGTGCCACTCCTGCATCGCCTCGCCCCACTCACCCCACCCCCAACCTCCAATTAATCCCTGCCACTGAGGGGTCACTGTGAACCACTGGTCACCCAGACGCATTTCGGAAGGGAAACGTTCTCACAGGGTTCTGAAAGACAGTGCAACAAAAGGCTGTAGTTGCTAACGCTAATCCGCACCACAGAGGAGAGAGAAAGGGAGAGTAAAGGGATAAGAGATTGCGACAGATGAAAGAAGTAGACAGTAGGACTCAAAGAAAGAGAGAGATAAAATAGATACTGTTTTGGTTATCGTGATTCCAATAAAAGGTTTAAATGGTTATAATGGGAATGAAATTGGTTCTTTGGGTCTAATGCTGTAGGCTATTCTCCAAAATACACTAGACATTTTAAAATGAACTAGCTTTAATGGTTAAAATTGGATGATTTGTAATGTTTAATTGTATTCGTAGTGGAAACCATTAGATCGTCTGTGATGGTTTCCATTGTTTTTTCAGCAGGATTTTTTAACCACTATAGTAATTTTTTAACCAGCTCAATTCGCCCTTTGTTTTAATAATATCCAAACGGATTTGAATAATTTGTCGATTTAACGTGATTAGCATTTCATTAGCCCCGAATGCGTTTTTCTCCTCAGATGAAAAGAATTCAAATTCAATTGAACTCCATCGCATCAAGTGGCTGCATGAGAGGCGATGTGTCTCAATCGCTGACCCCTCCCTTGTAGGCGAGCGGCTTTTTATCACCGGCTTCTCTGCGCATGTTTAATCAACCAGCAGGGTTGCCATGGCGACGGTGGTGGAGGTGCGGGCCCTAAGAATGGGCCGGGCCTGTGCGCTCCATGACCCACTTACAGCGCCGTGTGTCAACACATTCAGCGGCAAACAGGCTGAATGGGAGACACATTTACAAGGATTACAGGGGGGGAAAAACACAGTCCAGCGCTGAACACAGTAGGAACAGCGAAGACTACATGACTTCATCCAACCTCGCTGCTAGAAGATTTGCTTGAGCATCTTCCCTCAGCAGAAAGGAACTCTTTTAGACTGAATTGAACATTGCAATTCAGAAAAAAAAAATCTGAGAGATGGACAATACGGATTGTATTCTTTCCATCTTAAAAATTCAGTTTCAGAGTGAAAATTGCTTCTACTTCAGTTTTTTTGACTGTAAATCCTTTATTTTTATGTACTTTTCAAACGCACCAATTGTAGAGAAAATCTCATTCTCATTAAATGTTCCATCGTCTGAAGAACATGCACGTTCTCAAGCTTGTCTGGCCTGTTTGAAACAATGGGGAGAACAATGGTGCACTCTGTTCACTTTCTATTAAAAGGCATGACTCAGTTTTGAGAACAATTAGTGAAACTTCAGTGTCCCTGAGAGGTTTGACCAGAGTGTAAGAACAATAGGAGTGTCCATATTCGAGGGACTCACACAAGGTTGTGTATTTGACAAAATAGGAAGGAAATGGGATTGCCAGATTGCTTGCATCCCGCAGAGGTATATAATTCAATTACACTTGTTTCCATTTCAACATCCTAGTCTAAGACAATGCGGTGCTTTTTAGAGAACAAGACACCTACAGTATGTTTACACCACACAACTTTAAAAATAAAGATTTAAATAAATAAAAAAAGAAAGAAAAAACATCTCGAGTTCATCGCACAACCTTTTAAGTGAACAGTTCTTTACCATTAGTTTCTTTATATGAAGAATATTTTATTAATGCAATGATGAATGAATAATATTCCACTATAAATAACATTTTGCGGAATGAAAAGTGAAGATTAGTGCCAACAAAGAACTTTTATTTTGAAAACTCATCCAAAAAATACAACCCCTGCTATTAATCCTTGCGTAATGCAACTTGCATTGGGATATTAATAATAAAACAGGAGTTTGTTACATGCTGAAATGCTAAATATAGCACAAAAGGCATAACAACTTACAGTGAGGTACAGGTATTCAGGTCACTCTCAAAATTCAGCAAGAAAATATTAACATGGATTTTTAGAATTGCTCCTTTATGTCAGAACATGCGCAGAAAAAATGGGCGCTGAATTGGCAGGTAAAAGATCTATGAGGTAATGGGCAAATAATCTGTCTGCCAAATCATCTGTTATGCCATCACACTCTATCATTTCATGAGATCCTATAAGAGTCTGATTCAGAACGCTCACTTTATGAACATCTCTTATCAGAGTCTTATCAGTGGATGATGTTGCACAGTCAATAGGCACTGATAAGAGCCCATCCAACAGACTTTACTCTGTCAACAGCAGAGATGACAGATATTTGCAGAAAAAAAGCCATAAATAAAAGATGAGGAGTGGGACGGTATCTGTGTGTGTTAACGGCCTAATGTCCTCTAATCCAATAATCATGAGAGGTAATGAAATGTCCATTCTCCCATGAGGCCGCTTAGTTCTCCACTTCATCTATTGTGCAGCAGCTGGGTCAGCGCACTGGTCAATGCACGTCTGTAAATAAACTACATCTGATTATCGGACTCAGGAAATTTGGTTAGTGTATAATTAGTAAGTATTATGCATTAGGTCACTGAATTTGGGAATTGTGCATGATAACAATGTCTTTTTTCCATAAGTGTACAGTACTCTTGAGGCTCTAACAGTAAAGCGAAATTCTAGAAACAGTAAAAGTCAAGGGTTCATTTTTCTAGGGAATTTAGGACTTATAAAAAAAAGTTTATTTTAAATGCAAAATTGCTTTCGATAAAAGACTGCCAAACTGATAAATAATGATCACCTCAAATGTTATTATTTTTATTTTTACAATTCTTATTTTGCCATTACAAAATATAAAAAAATGTATAATAGCTTGGTAGTAATACTTTATTAATATAGTTTATTTAATAATAAAATTTAATACATTCATTAAATAATATTATTAAATAAAATAAATAAAATATTACTACTAAAAATAACTGAATAAAATATAATATTTTAGTAGTAATACTTTATTTCAATTAATAATATTATTTAATGAATGTATTAAATTATATTATTAAATAAAATGATTTAATTAAGTATTATAGTTTAGTAGTAATATTTTATTTTATTTATTAATATTATTAAATGAATGTATTAACTAACATTATTAAATAAAATAAATTAATAAAGAATAATATCTATTTAATAATACTATTTAATAGTATTAATAGTCTTAATACATTTATTAAATAAATGTGTTTATTATTAGTATTATTACTAATACTATTACTATTATTATTATTAATATTTATAGAAAGAACATTTTGGGATTTAATAACCAAAATAGAACAAAATTGCTATGTGTCGATATGCATTCGTGATTCTCAGATTAAATGAATAAATCCCACCAATCATGTCATCCATTGCTTCAAGAAATCAAATAAACATTAAAAAGAATGATAAACAGCAACACCCCCCCCCCCCCCCCCAGCAGGTTGAACATATCAATCAGTGATCCTCTCATACATTTCATGTGCTAAATATCACACAAACCCACTGACAGTCTAAGCACAGCAGACCTGACATGGCTGCTATTATCACACTGCTTCAGAAGGGAGGAGGAGAGAAAAAAAATCACTGAAATACAGAGTCGTCATAGATGGAGCTAAAGGAGGATGAAAGAGTTCCGAAGGCTGATATTTTGAATATTCCTTCAATTCAATCTACACAGTCAAATGCAAATATTTTCTATATACACAACAAAAGAAAGAAAAATATATACAACGATTGAGAAACCTCAGCCCCAGCAAATGGTGGTGTTATAAATGGCTTTGTGTCGAAGCGAACAAACACCAGGAAAATTGAGTTGGGTGAACGATGGGCGCATCTTTAAATGCCCAATGCATGCAAAAGACGGATCTCCTATCAAGCTCAGACAGACTGACAGAAATGCGCGGCAAACAAAGACAGACCCATCAGATTGTTCACACACACACGCGCACACACACACACACACACACACACACACAGGATCCATCCCCTGCACACACCCCTCAACAAAATCATTGTGCGATCTAAAATTCATCCGTTTTTCATTGTTTGTTTGGGTTTTTTTTGGGATCACATTTGCTTATCTGCTATTTTTGACTGCCAGAGACAAAAAATAAAGGCAGTGCATCACTGGATTTACACTAAATTGTATAAAAATGGGGGAAAATAATCCAGCATTCCAACCCATATTCAGGTTCTTTTCCTAGCCTCGTTTTATAATCCACAAGATCAGACGCAATGAAAAGCAGCGAGGGATTAAGCACAAAGGTAAACAACACAGAAAGATGGATGGGAGGAAACAATGAAGGATGAAACAAAAAAAGATTTCTTTACCCTTCTGGGTCTGTCCCTCATCCATGTCCTCCTCCATGTTGCCTTGTCCTGTGATTTCGGGGGTCTCGACGGCGGTGACCAGTGTTGTGCCTGTGGGTTTAAAGTCCGCTCCTTGAACGCCTTTCTCTTGCCTGCTTTCCACAATAGAAGCTGAGGCTGGTCTCTCTCTCTCTTTCTCTCTCGCTCTCTCTTTCTCTCACTCCCTCCTCCCTCTCTCGCTCCTGCTACTACCCTGTTCCTCACAGAGAAGAGCTGCTGTCAACACACATTTTTTTCAGTTCACTTGCCTTGTGTGAGGAGGTTCAGTGTGGCATCTCAGTGCAGGCTTGTGCAAACCATTGAGTGTTAAGACATTTACAGATATTGTGTTTATAGAAAGTAACCAAGCTCAAATGTGGGATGCAAAAAAAAAACAACAACCACCCAAAACATGGGTCGGCACACTGGGTGGAAAGACAGAGGTGGGTTTTTGGGGGAGTCGAGCAGAAATATGGTATAAGCCTCCACTTTACACCCCTGCTCTGAAAGAATGGGGAAGGCTGGTTGCATCTCTGCTGCATTAAGGATGAAAACAAGACATATTCGATTATTCTGATAATTACTGTGTGTGCATGTTGTAAATCTGAAGAGGTGGAATGTAATGATGGCATCTAGAGTGGGTTTTTTTCAGCTTGACTGCTTCAGCGCACAACATGGATGAAATATAAATGCATGTGATGAATATAACATCATATGGTGGGTTCACGTGATTCTCTGTGTGTGTGTGTGTCTGTGTGTGTGTGATGAAACATATTCACTGTGTCATTTCAGGGAGTGACAACAACATAAAAGGCATACAATGGAGTCATTTTTGTTTTGTCAAGCCTTGCTCTCTTAATCAGACACACGTTATTTGTTAAAACCTGCAATTTAGTATAGAAGTGCCATTCAAGCTTTAAAATCTTAATGATTGTGTTCAGTTTTGGTAAATTAACAGAAAAAAAAATCTTGGTTCTGGGAGAAATTATCATTATTAGCTGTTAATACCTTTATAATAAAAGCTACAATAGCTTTTACAAACTTTTGTGGAATAATTTCCCCCCCAGTTTCAGTAAGATCCACATCATTTATTGCACAGACACTCTAATTATCTATAATTTTAAAATAATTATTTTTGATTGCTCCTGGGTGGATTGTACGATATAACCCAGTGAGAAATCCATTTTTCACTTCAGAATATACAAATCGTGATATACAAAGTATACAAAAAATGTAATTCTTCTTTTATGCAACCAGAAATGTATAGAATAATTAATGATCCATAATCTAAGACTTCCAACTTGTCAATAATGTTCTTCTTTCATTCATTAATTTTTCTTCGGCTTAGTCCCTCATTTATCAGGGGTCACGGGAGCAGAATGAATCGCCAACTATTCCTGCATGTTTTACGCAGCAGATGTCCTTTAAGCCGCATCGTAGTACTGGGAAACACCTATACACTCTCACATTCACTTAAACACTCATACACTACGGCCAATTTAGTTAATCCAATTCACCTATACCAAATGTCTTTGGGCTATGGGGGAAACCACAGCACCTGAAGAAAACCCACACAAACATACAGATATGCCAACTGGCCCAACTGGGATTTGAACAAGCTGCCTTTTTGCTGTGAGGCGACACTGCTAAGCACTGATCCACCGTGCCACCCAAAAGTTCTTCATGTCAACTCAAAAAAATTTTTGAATGTTTTTTTTATTTATTCATTCATTCATTTTCTTTTCGGCTTGGTACCTTATTTAATCTGGGGTCGCCACAGTGGAAAGAACCACCACTTATCCAGCATATGTTTTACACATTAACACGGGCAAAACATGCAAACTCCACACATAAATGTCAACTGACCCAGCCGGGGCTTGAACCAGCAACCTTCTTACTGTGAGGGGATTGTGCTACCCACTGCGCCCCCGTGACGCACTTGAATTTATTTTTTACCAAAAAAAATGTGCTAAATTACAATAAGTATATAAACTAAATGTAAGTAACACTGATATTCAATATGTAATTGATCATTTGTGGATTGTTAATCTCTAGAAAACGTAAACAGTTTTTTTTAACTAATTCAGCAATGCCAGGTAAACACAGTTATTCTGTAACCCAGAAATAAATTTATTTCTGTTACTTTAAGAATTAAAATGCATATTTGTCAATCACTAATCCTACATTGTTAGTCAAAAGGAAAAACATGGAACAGGACTGACAAATGCAAAAGGTATTTAAAAGCTGCTGAATCAGTGCACAAAGAAAACAGAAAAAGGTATGTCTCAAACCAAACTGCAATTCAAACCAATCTTCAAATATGTCAGAGTCTAGCTTAACGGGATAGTTCTCCCAAAAATCTAAATTTCCTAATCATTTACTCACACTCAAGTGGTTCTAAACTTATGATTTATGGTTCTAAATATCATATTTATTTATTCTGTAGAACACACACACACAAAAAAAAAATGTTCAAAAGGATATTGGAAAAGTCAGGCATTGACATACATAAAGGAAAAAAATACTATGGAAGTCGATGGTTATTTTTTTCACTCTGTAAAAAGTTATATGATCAATTAGTCATGACAGCATATGTTTTTAATTTAATGTAACTTATTAAACTAAGTTAATCAGGTTCTTTAAGTTATGTAAGCAGTTTTAGGCCAGTTTAACATAATATAGGTTCAACGGATTCAAAGTTAATTTGATTTAGCTTAAATAATTAAGGCAACCAGGATTTTTTTACAGTGCAGCATTCAGTATATCTTCATTTTTGTTCAAAAGGTGAAAGAAGTCAAAACAATTGGATCAAGGGTAGAAATAAGAATACAGAATTTTCATTTTTGGGTGAACTATCCCTTTAGGATAAATGGGCCTCAAAAGATGTCAGCCAGAGAATCACTTGTGCTTTCTTGTGAGACATTATCATGGTTTGTCACAGTGCTAGTGCTGCCAAAATAACACAGGCAATGCTTATATTGTAAGACAACCAAGTCAATGATAGATTTATGCTAGTCTGTGCAAAGATGAATATCTATCAGCCAGTAAACCACTCAGCACAGAGGCGTTGTTACTAGAATACATTAACAAATAAACTTCACACACATGCCAAATGCTCAGTTTTGAATGTACGCAAATTACTGTTGATAGATTCACAAAGCAGCCAGAAGCATTCCCATGCTTAAAAGATAAAATTAAAACTGCAGATTTGCTTTAGCACGCAAAAAAAATCATATCCAGATTTTGGAAACAGTCCATTATCGAAGGTGATAATAGAACAGCTTTTGCATTGAAAGTGACACAGCTATTGGATTAAACTTTACTGATTGACATTTTAACAATCCATATTACTCTCAATTAGCTTTTGTAAAGATTAAATACAATAATTAAAGACCGATTAGCCAAAGTATGATTATTTAACACTGGGAAAAATCAAACTGTATTGACAACTGTGACTGTATTGCTGCCTGTTTTAGCTGAAATATGAATGACACCATCCTCCGACACAAATCTTTACCTTTTGAAGCTAAGTTTGTTTCTTCGCTGGGTAAGGTGGGAGACTAGGTCAACACATGTCACTCACATAGTTTTGAATGGGAAAAATGTGATGGTCTAGTGTAGGAAGCCCTGCTGCCCTCTAGTAAATAGCCAATAATCGATTGCTATGGACTGACCATTCTCAGAGAGGAGGGAGTCGAGACTTGAGTAGTTGTTATGGCAGTTTCTGCCATTTAAAAAGTTATTAAAGCAACACTCCACTTTTAAAAAAAAAAGAATTGACATTGTGTACTAAGGTGGGTTGGGATTCGTTTGGGATTATTTTGATACCGGGTGCTGAATTGATACTTTTAAAATGGTACTTAAATACACTGCAAAAACATTACTTGAATGATTGTTGGTAATATTTACAGAAGATGATGATGTCGCAGTTTAGCTAAATTAATTCACTTTAGCTAATTAACTCCTGAAGTGACTTGCGATGTGCCTTCACCATTTGCAATGCATCAAAACATTGTTTTCCAGCTGCAGCCGCGCTTTATTCCCGAAATCTATAGTTTGTCTAAAGTGATGTATGCAAACTATTTAGTATACATTAAGCAGGGATACAATCAGCCAGCGCAGTCATCCATCCATAGTCAAAAGCGACATTTTGTGTCTGTAGGTTTATTTACATGCGGGAGTTCCATTGGCACTTTCCTGCACGTTAATTCTGACCAATTGAAAAAAGCAGTTCAGGAAATACATTCAAGAACATCTAAAAGCAGATTTTATCACATATCTGCATTTTGGTTCTTTTGAACTGGTTTGGACCAAAGCAACCAGTCTGGTGTGAAAAGGACCAAAAGACGACAGAAAATGCAACAATGTATTATTTGTTGCCCTTGGTCTGGACCAAATGAACCGAACCACAGATGTGAAAGCACCCTAAGTCTACATCCTAAATTGCATACTTCCATACTACATAGTAACAGTTTGCAGGCAGAGTAGTAGGTCTGAATTCGTAGTATTCAAAAAACAGTATGTCAAAAGTAGATGACCTACTACTTCTGGTAAGATTCTGAAGTGCATATCCAAAGTACGCTATGGTATCCCATAATGCCACGCGAGAGAATTCATGAAAGGGAGTGAAGCGATGCAACTAACACAGGTAGGTCACGTGATAATGACAAATGGTAGATGTAGTATGTTCAAATTCCATTCATACTTTTCAAATTCATACTATATGAGGGGTGCCCAAACTCAGTCATGGATGGCTAGTGTCCTGCATAGTTTAGCTCCAACTTCCTTCAACACCCTTTCTGGAAGTGTATAGTATACTAAGAAAGAGCTTGAGTACTTTAGTACTGTACATACTCGAGTAAGAGATTTCAGACGCAGCCTAAGACTTACAGAAAATAAAAAGTTGCTATTGCTTGTTGCTTGGGCAAAGTAGATAGGAATTATACTCTCATTCTGGCTTAATAATCAAAGAACTTTGCTGCCGTGCCATGGCTGCAGCAGGCAAAATTAGATTATAGCATGACTGGCATACACTCCCTTTGTAAGCCAGTTGTCCATTATTAAACGTTACCTACGTAGCTATTTTCAGGTGCTACATAATATCATTGTGCCTGCTA